AAAAGGCAACTTGTTTTTCCTTGATGGATAAATATTGGCTCACRTGGGGTTTTTACATCCCAGGTATGTAAGAGAGCTCAGAGGGGCATATCCTGCACACACACACGTGCATGTGTGTGCACTGACACATGCTATTATAGTTAAAGGATTAAGCATCTTGAAGGAATAAGCCAATTATAAGAAGTTCCTGCACAGCAAAAATTAGACAACACAGTAATTAATAACCTTATTAAACAGCAATATTTGGGCACTGAACCAAAGAGTATGAATCAGGGTGAAGCATTCTTGGCTGAACACACTGCGTGAAGTGTAGACACTTGTTCAGAACACACTTTGTGCAGAACCCAATAAGCTTTGGGGCAGTGGATCCACTTAGCAAGTGGTTTTCCTCTTGTGCTTTTATGTTTCTGTGACTGTCTCCTATTTTTGGGGCCAGGAAGGCAGCAAAAGGACCAAATCTAATTTTTTGMTAACATCCTCTTCTGTTCACAGCAAAACAAGCACCCTTGTAAGGCTTCTTTTAAGGAAAAAATGTCCTCAAGCATAAAACTAATTTTCTTTCCTCTTGTCCCAGCACTTCTCTTTTCCCAGTGCTTTTGTGAGAGGTACCTTGCAATGAGGCTTGAGTTCATTAGTTGTTTGTGTGAGTGCCTTGCCCTCCACTGGGTTAGCCATGAGGAGCTGTCCCTGCAGTTCATGGAGGGTCTGTYCCATGTCCCCTGAGCCACCAAGGGACAGAGTGATCCTGGGCTGAGCTGCTGTGGCATGTCCCTGGTGCTGGTCACAGGCTGCCAGCACATGGTTTGCACTGGAGGCTTCTCTGTGAGTGTCTCCAGGTTCTGTACAGAAGAGCAGGACTCAGGCTGCCATCTGTTGTGTGTGCAAGTGTGGGAGGATGTGGGCCAAGGACAGCCTGTCTCCTGTCTTTCTGAGCAATTATCATTTTCTTCTGAAGCTGCACAACTGGAGCAGTGGTGTAGCCTCAGACACTGATGTGGATGTGCACAGAAATGTCTGCAACTGCTTGGGTGAGCTGAAGCATGAAACAGGCCCTCACCCTCAGAAAGGGCCCTGTGACCAGTGGCAAGGTGCAGATGGCCACTGAGCAGGAGTGTGACACACGAGATTCTGTGCTTCTTGGCCCCAAMTGCAACAGCAGCAATTTGCCTCCTGATGTTCTGCTTGACACAGTAAATAGTTTTGAATATCTGCTTCTTTTTTAAAGCCTACCTTGTATAATCTTTAAGAAAGATCCAATATGCAAATTATGTGATCAATTAACATTTTTGTAGTTTTCTTTGCAGAGGCAGTGATAAATGGTGTTGTGTTTTCAAAAATCACATCCCTTGCAAATGTTGCACTGGAAGCTGTAACACATAGGTGACGGAAACAAAAAAGGTTTTAAAGGTTTAAAGGTTTTTTAGTGGATATCCTGAATGTGAATATGATGTTTTAGAGTTGTTGTGCTGGGAGAGTCCTGTGGAGACTCTGCAGCAAAGAGAGAGCCAGCTGAGATGATGGGGATTAGTGAGATGTGCTGGGCATGTCACTGGGCATGTCACAAAGAGAGGACAGGGGATGGTGGGGCTGCCAGGCTCGTTCCATGCAGCTCCTGCAGACACAGAGCTATTAAATGCCATCACAAATTCTTGAGCTCAAAACTTTTCTCCTGGTCTGTTTTTTTTTCACTACAGCAGACACCAAAGTGGTGCTGAGTTTTAGGAGGAGACTGTGCTCGTAAAGGAGCCTGGTGGCTTTCCGTGAGCACCACCACAGCGATGCTTGTGGCTTCCCAGCCATTGCATCAGCTGTGTTCTCTATGCTTTATTTGTAAATGACATTTCACAAGAGCAGTAGGGCACTCCTGGCAGCATGTTTTGAGGAGTTATCACTCCTCAAGCCCTGTAACCCACCTGAGGCAGGCAGTAATGGCCCAGGAATGCAATGACTGTCATGTCTTATTGCTTACAGCTTCCATAGGAGACATGCTGCGCCTGGAGAAATCTCCATGTTCATCATGGGCTAGCAGCTTCTTCACCCTCTTCATCCTTGCTGCAGTTGTCTTACATAAAATTTTAAGTGCATTAGTTTAATGTTGGTTTGTTTTGTTTTTTTAATGGTAACTTTCAACCCAGTTCATGGCAACTGAGATGAAACCTTCAGATTTTAGGATGTGGCCCACTTTGCAGACTTCTGTCTTGGACRTTATCAGGGCTAAAGGGACATCATAATGGGTTGGACAAGGGTTTTGCCAGTGCTTTGATGAGGGTGAGGAATGTGCTGGGTAGAAAAAAGAATTTTTACTACCACTGGCAAAAGATTGCACATATTTTGCTACCACTAGCCATATTACACAAGTAAAAGAAGCTGCTTCTGCTGTTACTTTTTTAATATAGAAACCTGGTGTCAGCTATGCCAAAATGCTGTCCTTTTTATTTGATAGTGTAATCCATGTATTTATTTATTTTTAATAGTGATGTCTCAAGGCTTAGCTGGACTCTGTAGGAAACTGCTTGTCTGTAAGGTTGAGAGCCAGGTATCATAAGACTGCACAATCAAAAGGAATTGCAGTCTTTCTCATGAATGAGAAACCCAGTGGCTTTTCTCTGAAATAGTAGTAGTTATTGGGGTGGAGGCAGGGGGTGAAATAAGTTGAAAAAAAAATTTTAAACAAATCTGCTGACTAAATTTAAATTAACTGTAAATCTGAGCTCAACTGAGCACTCAATGTCTCTTTTGCATATGCCARCGGAGTAATACTGATGCCTCTGTCTTCCTCTGTAACTAATCCTTTCTGAAGGCTTGGCCATACATGGTATTTAAGTAGATATGAGCAGTAGTTAATGTTGATGGATACAGCCCRAGATGGGAGGTAATTTTCCCTTGTTGTGGTGGTGTAGGTGTTCCTGGTGAGAGCTGACACAGGCAGGTGTCACTGAAATCAAGGATCTTGTACAGAGCTGGAAGTTAAGGAAAAGTGTCAGCTCCATAAGTGCTCACTGGGGTTTCTCAGACCTGTGGCTGAGTATGAGCATATAATTGATTTTTTCAGTTCACTGGACAAACTGGAGGAGGGGAAAAATAAATTCAGTTTTGGTTTTTCAAGGCATTTTCTTTTTACATGARTGCGTAAAAATAGATATTTTTTGGTGAAAATGCTTTGGAAGATTTGTGGGTAACTTTGGTACTCAGGGTAACCTGAATATACCTTTGATTAAATGTTTGACTGAAATAGGAAAAGAAACAAAAACTCCAAACCTCAATCCCCCTCAGCTCTGTCTGTGACCTGGTACCATCACTGGCAGCCCCACTGAAGGCTTTGCTCTCCCTCCTTTGGCAGAATAGGGGGTTTGCTGATATCTTTGCTCATCTCATTCCCTAGATTTCCCCTTCTCCTGCCATGCTTCCAGGGGACAAGAGACAACTTTGCCTCTGAGGGAAGATGGGAAATAGCATAAATTACAATGAAAAACTGAGAAGGCTTGGCGTGCACAGTTAAATCTTGTTTTCATCCCCAGCCTTGTATGTTATTAACTGGCATGAATTTTGTCTGACTAACACAGGTCTGTCTGCCAGTCCCTCCCTGGGTCCTGCTTGTCTCCTCACAAGTGATGCTTCAGCTCTTCTCTGCCACTCGGCTCAGGGCACCTTTCTGCTTTGATAATTCTGCCTGGCTTTTGGGCTGTGCTCTGCAATTCAGTCCTCTGCTGCCCAGCTGAAAAATAGCGGGGTTTCTTTGCTCCTTGATCTCTGGAAGRGCCTCTCCATGGTTTGGGGGTTATAGGGGAGAGTGTATGGGCTGCCTAGGGAATGTCTCTTCGCATGAAGAAAGAAATCATTTGGTGAACCTAACGAAAATGCAACCTTCCAGAGCTGGTCTGCTCCCTCCCACCAGCACTTTGCCCTGCTGCTGGCCTTACTTCCACTCCTTGTGCTCCTTCCCTCCTTGCTGTGGAGTACGTTGAGAGAGAAATGTTGCTGTGCAAAAAGCACCAAAGGCAGTGCCAAGTGATGCAGAGGCAATCGARTGTTGCTTTTCCAGGTCAGACAGGAGATTTGACATTTGCCTGGGCAGCGGCTGAAGCCAGGAAATCTCATTAAAAGGAGGAGAATTATCAAGTTCTGTGGATTTAGAAGAGGGTTTATTTGTTGTTGTTTTGAACTTGCTGTTATTGCTGTAAGCAGAAATCTGTGTGGWTGAATGTGTGGAAGGGTGCTGTGCCTGTTGGAAGGGCTGGCAGGCAGCCCCCTGTCCGTACGGGGCTCAGGATGAAGGACATGCCAGCGGCAGCTCCAGCCCTTCCCTGTGCCCCAGGAGCAGCTCTGCCCGCAGGGGCCTGGCACTCGGTGCCTGGCACAGGCTGGGCTGAAGGTAAAGCAGCTGAGCCCTCGGGCACTCACTGCTCTGTGCTTGGCTCCTGGCTGTGCCCAGGTAAAGCAGCTGAGCCCTCGGGCACTCACTGCTCTGTGCTTGGCTCCTGGCTGTGCCCAGCTCTCTCCCGTGGTGCTGCAGTGATAATCCATTGCTGCAGTCGGACAAGACACCTCTGGCCCTGCCATAGCTCAGGGTTTGCTCTCTGCCACAGAGCCGTGCTGAAGCAATAAGCTGTTTTCTGTACTCCACAGCACTTCGACCTTTTTAATCACTCTGGGCTTAAATAATTATCTACTGCAAATGTTTATATAAGGAGAAAATAAAGCCRCAAGCCTTGCCGTTTTTGTTGTGCCTTTTCCTCCCCTCTTCTCTCTGTGGTGCCTCGTGCATAAATTTTGAAGTCTTGAAGTTTATAACCTGCCCCAGCCGTAATTCTCAAAGCTGTGTGTTCCTGGTACTCTGCCTGCACTCAGTGCTGCAGAGAGAGAGCAGTGAACTTAGTTGAGGCACCAATTTCCTCCCTCTCCCTTCAGTCCCTTGCTTACCTACTCAGTGTCAGGGCTCTGACTCTTTCTCTCTCTTTCTCTCCCTTTCTCTTTCTCTCTTTCTCTCCATCTCTTGCAGTATGCAGTACTGGGCCAGGAGGCTGGAGCAGGAGATTGATGGAGTGATGAGGATATTTGGTGGAGTCCATCAGCTCAGAGGGGTAAGCTGTCTTTCTTTTACCTGTGCTGCCTTTCTTGTGGCAATGGATGTTCTCATCTGCAGAAATCACCTGTGTGAACACTTGCACTAAGTCACCTTCTCAGCTCACTCCATGTACAGGGTCATGGCTGGCTGTGCTTCTGGCTCCTGGGCAATCTGATGCATTTATCAAGTGTGTGGTATCTGTCTGTCTCTGGGGCTGCATGTCACTGCTATTCTGAGCATGTACCTGTGGGATTTTTCCTGTATGAAACACTAAAAAAATATTAAACCCAACTAACCTTTCCTCCAGGGACTGAAGATAGTTTAATTTGTGTTTTAAATTAAAACTTGTGTTGACAAAGCAGGAAATGTTAAAAGGATAATTTGGCTAGCCATTGGAAGCTCCTTGTTTTCAAGTACACATTGCAGGCAAGACTGTAATTCTTGTTTGGCTTTTGTTTCTAAGTGCTACAAAACAAAATGCAGTTACTGATGCTGGCATGTGCCTCCTGCTCCCTGAGTTAGCACCAGGGTAGAGAGGCTGCAGCAGCCAGATCTGCTCTTCTCCTGGCAGCAGTGCCCTGGGTTGGGTTAGGGCAGTTACAGAACAGCTTTGTCRTGGTGTATTAGGTTTGGGATCAAAGAGCCTTTGAAACCTTCCCTGTTTCCTTTTCCCWGTAAGGCTCTCTTTCCCCTTGCCCACACTCTTGTGCTGATTAACTGTCTTGAAATGGAACAATTTGGAATTACAGTTATGGTGTTAATCTAAAGAAAATAGGCTTCTCTGGAGTGATAAATATGTTACCCCAGAAAAAAAGCATGGGTATATTTGTGTTCTCTCATGGCAGTGACATGTTCTTCTCAGATGCCAATGTCATGGGACTCCTACTGTCTGTCTTGCACTAGTAGCTATACTGGCTTAACCAGAACTGTTYCTATTTTATACTGTTGGTTGGAACCCATTGTCTAAACACAGAGGTCACACTATTTTCTTTTAAATGCATTTTGAAATGAGTTTACCTGAAGGCTTGCAAAATTCTTCATGGTTCATCCATTCATTTGTGTTCATTTTTGAGCTCTAGAATGGGCTGGCTGTGTCTGGGCTTTGTGTGCATTCATTTCAACTGAACTTCAACCAGATTGATACAAACTTCATGTGCCACATGAAAAGCATATATAACACTTGGGTTTCAACAGATATTTCTGAATGTAGCCATGCATTTGTGCAATGCAGTTTTAGATTCAGAGTGGGGATGTTTTCCAGGCAACATGATGGTGCAGTAGACAGCATTCTCTTCAGCAATACACAGTTAGAAAAAAACAGAAAGAATGCTACTACATTTTTGTACATGTCCTCTTTTACAATTTATTCTTATTAGCTTTGATTTTACTCCTTTGCATGTTAAATAGGTATATCATGTAATTTTTTTAATGCCATAATTAAATAGAAATTACACCTCCAATTTACCAGCACTTGACTCCTATTGGCCAGTCAGTCAATTACAGGTAAGAGAGCTTCCCACTTTTCCTGTTTAATTCTTCTGGTAGAACATAATGCAGTACTTCAATRGATTAATACTGGATAAACTGACTACAGAGGGATTGAAGGGTTTTTTTGAAATCTGTTTTGGAATCTTCTTGTGAAGGGAGGAAGCTAATTATTGTATCTAGTAAATGCATAAACCAGCTGAAACCAAGAAATGAGCCACTGAAAATTGCAATGTGCAGCTGTTTGAACACCAGAAAGGACCGGTGGAGGCTCTCTGATCTCTAGGGGGGAACTTGGGATGTGGAGTTCAGTTCTGATTCRTAAATGCAGTATCAAGTGGATGATACTTAAGAACCACATCGCTTGCTAGTGCACACTAGCACAGCTCCACTGATGGAAAATGGCATGGAGTGCTTAATCCTAAAGAGCTCAGAGCTGTACCTGCAGGGAGTCCTTACCCACCAGTTGCACACAGGATCATCAGGGTTACAGTATGGGAGCTGTGTAATGTCATAGAGTGGTGCTGTAACCTATGTGAAGATATGAATTTAAAAAGTTCCATTAAAAAAGTCTGTATTCTGTTGCAACCACAGCCAAAATTTAGAAGGTGAGCAGACACGGAGGGGGGAAAGGAAAGCCCTGAGGAGCTGTGGGAGCTGAAACATGGTATATCTGGAAGCTAATTCCACCCACTGGGATTTCACAGGAAGGTTTATTATTAAGCAAGAGTAGACTCATGTGGGGTGGGAAGAAGAAAGAAAAATGAGGCGAGTAGAGCCTGATTTTTACTGAAAGTTGCTGATGTTCTTTGGGATTGCCATGTTGGCCTGAGACATGTCTGCAAAGGGGRCTTTTGGTTCATTGTGCATAGTGATATTGGAAGTGGGGGGAAAGGTGCTCCAGTGTCACCAAAGACAGAAATGGTCCTTCTGAGCTTGGTGGGGTCTCWTGTGAGGTGGGGGATGCCTCTGCCAGTTCTCATATGTCTATGAAGCCTGTAAGCACTGGACATGGGTCCATGAAAGAAATGGATCTTCCCTTTCCATTTCAGGCTTGACTGCCAAACTGACAGGCCAAATAATAATAAAAAATACCCTCCTCTGAGATTTGCTAGATTTACTTATGAATATTTTTTTTCTTGGGTTGCTGTGAAAGGATGGGGACCTGTTCTTTGGTTATTGCCTGAAATCATAACTGTTATGGCATATGAGGCATGAAATTTATTGTCAGAAATATGGTGTCCAGGAACATAACAGTGCTGAATATTTTATCTTCCTGGAGTGCTGCCCATCCCAGAAAGATTTTTGTTTTAACTCTTCAGTCATTTCCTTGATTTGGGGTATAAATGTTCAATGCCCCTGCTTCCTTCCTCTCCTGCCAGGGGGACAGGCAATCACCTGGGGAGATTTTCCAAGCTTGTACCATTCAAATGCTCCTTTGCATTTTTCTGCAGCAATTACAGGAGGGTGAGAAGCTCACCCTAAAGGGGTGCTGTGCCAAGAGGTGTCCTTTCAGCTGTGAGGTACCACCTTGCTTCTCTCCTGATGTCCCCATTGGTCAGACTGGCTGTGGTGGGGCCACCCCTGTGGCTGAACACTGTGGGTTTGGGGCTGTACAGAGGACCATGGCCTTGCTGASATGATTCTCTGCCTGGTGAAGTCAGTGTTCAGCCCTCGGGGTGCCTGTGGTGCAGCATCCTGTTGGCTGGCTGGTTCCCCCAGGCATTCCTCAAAACAAATCCCAGCACTTGGATAAGGGCATGTTGCTTTGCCTCCCTGTCCTCGCCTCCCTCGCAGCTCACCAGAGATAATTGAGAGCACAAATCATTGCTAATTTAGCTCTGACTGGCATGATGATATGTGGGACCTTTTAATGCTGGCTGAATAGATTGACATTCTTAAAGTAATTATTTCTAGAATAAGGAATATTACAGTTAGTGTRTATAAGAGTTAGTGACTCTTTTGTGGCCACAGTGGATTCTTTACTTTGCAGGACAAATAACTATTTTGTTTTGACATTTCTTGCTACACCACACTAAATTTCTTTTTCTTCTAGTGTTTTGGCACAGTAAAAAGTTATTGATTTTACCCCAAAATGAATGACTATTTTGTGTTTACAGCCTAGATGCTGCAAAACCTGCTCCAGGGTAGACTGTATTCAAGAGATTTCCCRTGCTGGTGCAGCCCTGTCCCAACCCCCCAATGTCCTGCTGTGCACTCGTGGCAGGACTGATGACAGCWGAGCTGTGTGTGCTTCTGGGTTTTGTGCCTTTCTGAGCAGCTCCCCTGATATTGTGTTAAAACTCCTTCTCTGGATAGCTGGGCTGAGGCTCAAGTCTGCCCTGGCTTGTTATCTAAATTGTGTTTGATCCTGTGTCTCCTGAGGTGAGCAGCACTGGTCMGAACATCCCCTCCTCCTCCTCTGGTACCTGTTATCCCTGGCTGCCTCTCACAGCCTTGTTTCCTCTCTGACAGTTCCTGAGGAAGCCAAAGCCTTTCAAATGAGAGGTGGGAAAGCTAAGAGATGGAAATGCTGAGCCCCCTTTCCTGCTCTGTTTTCYTTTTTCTCTCCCCTCTGATTGTCTTTCCTCAGGACTGCTTCCATAGCAGGGTCAAGCTCTCTCCTGGAGGTGTTGTACCCTGCCAAGACAGGCTTTAGCAGGGGCAGGGTGRGCAGCAGAGCTGCACCTGAGCTGCACCTCCTTCTCCTGTCCAGTCTGGTTTTGTACCCTCTTCCCTTTCCTCTGGGCAGCCAAGGGAAATCAAGAGAGAGTGGATCTGCCTTGCTGTGTCTGACTGGGAGATTAGGATTCTGCTGGCCCTGGTGATGAGGAACCACTCAGTCTGTAAGGGGTGAGATGGCCCCAAACCCGAGCYCAGGGTGGGATGTGGGGAGCAGCCTGCTGGCTGAGCTGGGCAGGCAGGGAACCTCTGTCTGAGCTGTGCTTGGTCCTCAATGTGTGACTGCATGGGAAGGAGCAGGAGCCCTGGGAAAAGGGAGACTCATGCTGYGCCCTTTGGGATCCAGCCTGCTGCCCCAAGGGGTTTGCTGATTGTGGCACAGTGGAAGTGGCTCAGCTTGGTCCTTGTAATCAATATCTGCTTTTACTTCACAGGATTTTCATGTCTGTCTTTTCTTCTTGCGTGTTATCTTGTACTTTGTTTTGCTAGTTGGCATCTCTGCCTGGCAGAAGTGCTGCTGTTCCTTGCTCTGGGTTTTTCTGAAAGGGAAGGACAGATCCTGCTGGYCAGGGCTTGGGGCAGAGTGACCAGGGTCTGTGCAGGTGTCCCCACCTTTATCTGCCCCAGCCTGCCTGTCCCTTCTTCTCAGTGCTGCTTCTCTGATATATCCTCTGTTTTCAAAGCATGGCAGTGCTTTAGTTGAGGCAGCTGCAGGTGAGGAACTGTGATAGAGCTGTGCAAAAACAAGAATTTGAATTAAAAAAACCTAGTATTCGAGCAGAGTTTTGCCTTGGGTGTGATGAGCTCAAGTGGCACCTGCCTTGTGTAGTGCTGCAGTCACTAGCACTC